CTATGAGGTGGATTGATTCAGTGACTGGGATAATCGGGATGGGAGTGTCAGAGACAGTGCGATTGGCACAGGACAGAGCAGAGTTTAGGGCTGTCGTACATAGGGTCTCATTGAGTCGCAAGCGACTTGACGGCACTTAACAACAACAACGACAAAAACAACAACAACCATTCAATCTTGGATTGTTAACAGAGATGAGGAAAGAGAGGAGAGTAATAATAGCTAAATTGGATGATGAGAAAAGCAATATACACTGAGAGTTTAATAATAAATTAACTGGATTAATCAATTATAACTACTGTTTACAACAAAATGTGTTAAAGTGTGGGTTTGATAATAAATTAACTGAATCAATTGTAACTACTATTATACAACAAAATATATGAAAGTTTGAATGAAAAACTAGTATGATATATAAATTTTCAATTAAATGAAACAGTAAATAAATAAAAATTAACAAAATAATAAATCTTGCATGGAGCTCTGGTGGCCTAGTGGCAAGAAGCTGCACTGCAATCCCAAAGTACATGGTTTGAATCCACTAGATGCTCTGCTGGAGAAGGAGGTGCAATCTCCTCCTGTACCAGTCAGATCTGATTTGAGGGTACACACAAAAATAATAAAATTAAATTAAATTAAAAATAATAATAATAGCAAACCTTGAAACCAAAATAAACCAAACTCTTAGAGAGAGTAGATTCCATCTATAACAACCCTTGAGGACAGATAGACGTGAACTGCCCAGTAGGGATCTCAAGGCCACTGTGTTTATGGAAGTGAACTGCCATGTCTTTTTCTCACAGTTGTTGTTGTTGTTAAGTGTCGTCGAGTTGTAGACGACTCATAGCAACCCTATGAACAAAAGACCTGAGCACTGTCCATAGAGTTTCTGGAGGCAAGCCATTTCAGAAGTGGATGCCATTCCTGCTTCCAAGGTGGTTTTAATTGGGAAGCTCCACCAAACACTGTTCATCATGGGTATCACATTTGGCACATGAGTGTCACAGTGCTTAGCATCACAGTAACCACGAATTACGTCTGTACAGCAATGCACAGACCAGTGCTATACCGCTTAGAAGAATGTTTGACAAAAAACCAATTTGAACGAGGCCTGAGGGCCTCAGATTAAAATCACCCACTTTGGGCTTAGTAGCATGACTTTCTGTCCACAAGGCCTACATAGCTCTCTTTATGTTGTTGTTTGTTTGGTTTGAACCACGGGTCCTTTGGTTAGCAACCAAGCTCCATAACTACTTGCTGTTAGAGTTCCTAATCTCAAATAATCATGTACTGTTTAGTTCTACCTATTTAACTTTTGTGAAACAGTGAAATTACAGAGATGGGCTTAGGGATGATAGGGGAAAAGGTGAGTGAGGCTATAGAGAGAGAGTACGAGGCAGCTTTGTGGTGTTGGAACAGTTTTGAGTCTTTATTGTGATGGTTTATATGAATCCACACGTGATAAAATTGCCCGTTGTTGATTGCCGTCTAGTCAAGTATGACTCACAGTCACCCTATGAACAGAGGTCCTGAAGCCTTTCTATAACTATTGTCATTTCTCAAAATTCATAGTTTCCAGAGGTATTTCATTTAGTAAGTGGATGTAAATACCAACAAATGTGTATGTGTAAAACGGGTGAATTCTGATTAAGATTTAGCTTGTGAATTGTGTCAGGGTCAGTTGCCTGGTTTTGATGCTTGATTATATTTATGATCGGTATCTTCTATGTGAAGAAACCTCTTTATATATTTTTCTAGTTCCTGGGAGTCCATGATAATTTAAAATAAAAAGTTGGAAAAAAAGAAAAAGTTTGTAAAAGCATCTCTTAGAAGCAGCAGGAGTCTAGATTCAGGTTCTATTCTTGTTAGTAAGTCACATGCCCTTGGATAGGTCTCTGTCCCTCATGAGACTCAATCTTTCCATCCATATGATCTTTACTTGGGAGGAGGGGGGATTTTCATAATTCTTTTAATTTAAATAAATTCCTTGAATGTTTTTATAGAATGGATGTTTATAGAAATGGTTGTTATTTAGAAGCTTTTGGTGTTTAATAACTTAGTTTTCACTTATTTAAGCAAAGCAAGGGCAGGAGGGAGGAATGAATTGATTTCTTTAACTAGGAAGTCTGTAATCAGGCAAAATTAGATATAAAATATGTACATTTTACTTGTCTCTGATGTTATTTGTGATTTATCTAATGATTTGTACACAGGGCTTTTTGCTTCTCCATCTCTTTGTTCTCTCGGTTTCATTTTTCAGGTAGACTGCAGCACTGAGGTCAAGTGTGTTAGAGATGATGAGGAAGGAATAGGATAGCACAGGGCTCAGGTCTCTTATACGTAGGGTTGTTGCGAGTCGTACTCGAAAGCACCTAACAACAACAGTTATGTGGTAAGTTTGATGGCTACTGGTAGCTAGCCCCAGAAATGCATCCTCTTAAGTTAGCAACTGCAGAAGAGAAAACTTCCAGGTAGCTCCACCAGAAAAGTACAGGGATAAACTTTGGGCCAACCTGAGTCATACACTATATTACATAAGTAGGTATGAATCCAATGAAGTACTTTGGATAGAAAAACTAGGATGTAGGTTGGAATTGACTCCATCTGAGCAGCCCCAGAATAACGGGGCACTTATCAGAAGGAAAAAGATTTACTGAGCAGAGCAAAATAAGCAGCAAGTTGTGGTTGTTACATGCCTTCGAGTTGACTACAACTCATCATGACCCTGTGAACATCAGTTCTGAATTTTGCCCTATCCTGTGCCATTCTCACCACCTCCAACACACTTGATCCCATTGTTACAGTCATTGTTCAGTCCATCTTGTTGAGGGTCTTCCTCTCTTATGTTGACCCTCCAACTTTCCAGCAAGCATGATGTCCTTCTCCAAAGACTGGCCCCTGTGGTAGTCAATCAGAAAAATCCCAAAACCACTCAAAGCGATTAAGTATTCAGTTATTTTCTAGGAAAACTATTAGAGCGTGGTCATTATTATGAAACACTCATTGATGCAAACCTAAAAAGTTGTTGTTCATAAGTAGTGATGTGATCTTTGTTTAGAAGGAATAATAACCTCACCACCTTAAACATTTACTTATTTTTCCATCTTTGTCTATATAGGGCAAACCTGAATCCCAACATTCAGAATCCATTCTACTTCAGTCCCCACGGGGGATGGAAGTGGAAGGCTGCATTCGAATGTATGAACTTGTACACAGAATGAAAGGAACAGTAAGTGAACCATAAAGTAAAATAGGCTTAAATCTGTAAAACCTTATTTTAATGCAGTTCCCTGGTGTTTATCAGAGTCTGCCTTACAGTAATCATTATTCTTCACCTACTGGGAACTCATAATTTAATCAAGGAGGTAGAATAAGACAGCATTTCAGAGTGAGCACTCTAAAGTTTTATCTGTCTTCAGATCCCGATTCTTCTGTTTTATATGTAGTTTGGAAAAATTACTTAGACTTTCCTGGCTTCCATTTACTCCTCCAAAATTTAGAGGTAAGTATAATGTAAAAATGATAATGTGTATAAAGCACTTGGTACATGTCTTGATTTTCAGCATTTGAAAGCATGCTGTATATCATTCTCTGTTCTTGGCTATACGGATACAATTACGAATAAAAGAAACAAAAATCCCTGCCATCATGGAGTTGAGGTAGACTATGAGAAGTACTAAAACACCAGATAATAATATGCTCTGGGAGTGTTAGGTCAGGTTTGATTATGTAAACAGTTAGAACATCACATACTTTATTATGAAAAAAATTCTGGATCTTGAGTTAGCTACATTTTGTGAAACTCACATAGTGTTGATTGTATCTGCTTACAGACAGCTGAAAAGAAAAGACATTCATAAAATGTATTTATTGTCTGCCAAGGAGTGGCATATAATTGTTGCTAATACTTACTAGTTCTGTAGTTCAGTTCAGGGTAAGATAAGGTGGGCTGAGGTCAGATAGTATTAAACCAAGACAGGACTATGACAGGTTCTTGAGAAAAGAAAAACACCATTTTTATAAATTTATCCAGTTTTTTGATTAATAACAAAACTTTACTATAAAATTTTTTTCAAACAGTACAAGCTTATAAAGTCAGTATTCTAGCATCTCCCTCGTTCATTATTTATTATACAGTGATTATTCATATACATATTTATCTATACATTGAACTTTGTTCTAGATGCTGTAATTAAAACAGTAAACTGTATAGACACATTCATTCATAGAGCTTGTATTCTGGTAGGGAGAGACAGATTTCTATATGTAAGTACTTGTGTTGCATGGCATACTCAAAAGAATAAAAATAGAGACCCTAGTTATGGGCGTTTACCAGGGTTAAGAGGGAGAAGGAAAGGGGGCTTGTTGATCTTAGGGCCCTGAGTTCCTGCTAATGGCCATAAAATATCCATGCTTGTGATACATTGGGTCCACACCAAAACTGCAAAACACTCTCCCTATCTCTGAATTACTAATTGTATCTACAAAGGCTCTTTTGCCACATAAGACAAATATATTACCAGGTTGTGGGGATTAGCACTGTGCATTCCCAATTTATCCTGGAGTAATAGAAACCATATTGAGTAAATTAGAAAAGCTTCCCAAAAGGACTGTTTAGTGATTAGTCCCAAGGTAAAAGGTAACTCCTAAAAACATTGCTCCTGAGATAGGCCCAAATGATTTCTTTCACTTGAGTATTCCTGCAGGTGATCTCCAGAGGTAGTTAAAGGAGGTACCCTGAGATCATGTGCTAACCCTTTTCAGGAGGGCCTGAGGCAATGGCAGGAAGAACAGGAAAGGAAAGTGAGAGTCCTCTCTGAGATGGCATCTGAACAATTGAAGCGGTTTGATGAACGGAAGGAATTGGAGCAACATAAAGAATTCCAGGACTTACGAGAAGTTATGGAAAAGAGGTGAGAATTGTGTCAGACAGTGTTGACAGAGGTCATCAACAGAAACTCTCCCAAGAAATTGAGCTTCTTTCTTATATAACCAAATAAGTAGCTTATCACCTAGAAAAATGGCCAACTTTGGAAAGATGACCCAAGTAAAAACCAGGAAAGAGCCTTGTAGGAGTATTTAAACTATTTTAGAGGCATCCTGAATTTTCCTCCCTTGTTCCATTTAGTACCAGAGAAGCCCTGGGCCACCAGGAGAGGCTGAAGGCAGAGCATCAGCACAGAGCAAAGGTCAGCTGTGGGAAACCTTGTGGGTGTTTCGAGTCTGTAACCAGTTCTGAGTCAGGTTTTGGCAGATTGTCATCACTGAGGACCTGACTCATTTGTTTTTATGCAACTGTCTTGGAGAATAACTTATCTGCCTGTGAGAATACCGAGCCCACTTAAGGCTTGGAGAATATAGTCTGAGAAAGCTCAGGAGCCGCGTGGAAGATGTAATTTGATGGCCCTTTCTGCAGATTCTGAACCTGAAGCTGCGGGAGGCAGAGCAACAACGTCTGAAACAAGTGGAGCAAGAGAGACTTCGGAAGGAAGAGGGCCAGGTCCGCCTGCGGAGCCTCTATGCACTGCAGGAGGAGGTGCTGCACCTCAACCAGCAGTTGGACTCTTCCCACCAGCACAAAGACCTGCTTAAGATCGACCTATCTGCCTTCCAAACCCGAGGCAACCAGCTGTGCAGCCTCATCTCGGGGATCATTCGGTCCACTTCTGAGGTGAGAGGAGTTTCCGGATGGCTTTTCTGTCTTTGAAAGGGAAAAATGTTAAGAGCATCAGTTAAATATGCTGAAAATTCACATTTATTCACTAATAAGCATATATTATTTTAAAATAATTACATGTCTTTTTTTTTTTACCTAGAAGTGGCCTATTTTTTTTTGATATATAGTCTTTCTTGGGGTGTGTAGGGTTATATATAATAAATACCTATCCTAAATTGAACTTCAGTAGGTAAAGTGTTTTCCATCTTAAGTTAAAACGAATTCTGCTGATTGTAAAATATTTGTGTTAATTCAATAATCTCCCTGCCATGGTTATGATGAAAAATTAAAACCTTATAGAAATGTGTATTGTATTTTTTCAGTTAATGATGTATTTTGAAGATATAATTTCTAATAATTATTTAAAAAGTTTTATTGTTTACCACCAGTGTTAAGGATTGCAAGTATTGCCTTGATACGTACTATATATTCAGTATTTGCTGAAGAGTTAGAATTAGATACTTTCAACATAGGATCGTACTAAAATTTGTTTGAATGCCTGTTGATTCAATTTCTCTTTTCCACAACAGTAATTTCATAGCCTATATATTTTTATCTAAATTTCTGATTATTTCTTTGAGATAAATTCCTACAAGTGGATTTACTCTTTAAAAGAATTCTAAAATTCTTGGTTAAAATTATATTACAGGAAAGTTATATATTTTTTCTTTCCCAAAACTTTGATTTATTTGAACAAGTAAATGTGCGTTCTATGTAGTCAAGTGTTAAAAAGTCCATTTTAACACTAGTGAATTTTATTAGCCTGAATCAAATGAAAATCTTTTCCATAGCCTTTCAACCCTTAGTCAAACTTTTGACATCCTTCTTCTGTCCAAACAGATAATTCCTTTCTAGCTGCTTTCACGTACTTTTCTCAGTGCTTTTTCTGTGTCAGAATTGCATTTAACTAATTCATAGAAAGCATTTTCATAAGCTTTTCTTTTTTCTTTTTTTTTTTAATCAAAGGTATTGTTTCTTTTCTGTCAACCTTATTTCCACTTTTTAAAAGACAATTTAAGACCCTTCTGTGGTGGTGCCCACCCACTCAGTGCACTGAGTGGTGGGGACTGCAGACCAATCTTCAGTTGCGGGCTGAGCGCTCTAGTCTTTAGTATGGAACTGTTAAACCAGCACAGAGGGACCTGGACACCTTCGGACCAGTCTATAACTTCAGGCTGAGTAGCAGTGAATTCAGGAGCAGGGGCGGTCCATTCTCCCTGAAACTCCTCCTTGGTCACAGCCTTTTCAGCAGCAGCCTGCTCTTCCTTTTCAATCTATTCTGGATCTTTGTAGAAATACAGATCAGACATGACCTCCCATGGTGCTCCTGGGAGATTGTACCATGCATGCGCAGGACTTCCCGGGCCAGCATCCACCACATCAGACCCACAGAGTGAGCTCCCTTGTTGTTGTACAGGATAGCGATGTCTACCTAACGCAGAGGAGAATCTGTGTTACATGGGGCAGTGGTGGGCAGGTTAACATAAGATGTCTCAGGGGCTGGTGGTCAGCCCTGGGATCAGTAACCACCAGAAGACAAGACTCCCTGAAGGCTGCCTGGATCTGGTTAGTGAAGTGCCTGGCAATAGGAGTGGCCCCAGTAGCAGCAGCAAATTTCAGAACAGCTCTCTTGCCTGTGTTTCTGGAGGAAATGACACGGACATCAGCTGAATTTTCGGTGGCAACAATGGTCAAGCAGCCAAGAGCAGCTTCTCCCAGGTCCTCTTCAGGTTTATGATGTAGATGCCATCACTTTTCCTTTTGTAGATAGACTGTTTCATTTGAAAGTCAAGGTTGGTGCCACCCAAAAGCATTCCTGCTGCAAGGAATTTGAGGACATCCTCCTCCTTCATCTGCAGGACATCAAGGGCTCCGGACATTGTGGAAGTTTCCCCTTTAAGTTATGATGGGAAGCAAAACAATGCCGTATGGACCCTTGTGTGGGTAGTGAAGAAAGCTCATTATCTTTTCTGTGACATCCTTCAGGAACTGTTTCTACACCTTTCTCTTCAGCTATTCTAGATGAATCCTTAAGAAATACAATCACATCAAAACAACTGAGGTGTCATCTCACCCCAGTAAGAATAGCAAAATTTAACAGAAAACAGCAAATGCTGGTGAGGTTGTGGAGAAACTGGAACCCTTATTAACTGTTGGTGGGAGTATAAAATGGTGCAACCACTGTGGAAGACTGTATGATGCTTCCTCAAAAAGTTGCAAATAGAAATAACATTTGACCCAGCAGTTCCACTACAGGAAATAGACTCTAAAGAAACCATAACTGCCACCCAAACAGATACATTCACACCCGCGTTTATTGTGGCTTTGTTCATAATAGCAAAGGGTTGGAAACAACCTAAGTGACCATAAACAAATGGATGGATAGAGAAGCTCTGATATATTCATACAATGGAAAACTATGCAGCATTGAAAAACAAGGAACTCATGAAATGTTACACAAAATGGATGGCCCTGGAGGACATTTTGCTGAGTGAAATATCTCAGTCACAAAAAGACAAACATGGCATAATGCCACTGTTATAAAAGAGGACTGACCTGATTAGATGTTATTGTTGTGACCGGAGTCCAGAATGAAGGTGGGAGGGATTGAATAACAATGAAAAAATTGAGGAGAAAAGGGAAAGTTCTTCGTAGGTTCTTTGGAGGCTGGCTTGAAATCCAAAGTGTCTAAACTGTCATGAAAATCAATTTAAAAGAAAAAAAATATAGTCGCTTTTCTGGTAAACACTCTGGATCTCACAAGTGTTTATTATTTTCATTGTTGTGTTGTTATGTGCCGTCGAGTCCCTTGTGACTCATAGTGACCCTATGTACAACAGCCCTAAACTCTGCTCTGTCCTGTGCCAATCGCACTGTCTCTGACACTCCCATCCAGGTTATCCCAGTCACTGAATCAATCCACCTCATAGAGGGCCTTCCTCTCCTGCGCTGTCCCTCCACCCTCCCAAGCATGATGTCCTTCTCCAAGGACGGGTCTCTCCTCACAACATGTCCAAAGTATGTTAGATGGAGCCTCCGAATCCTTGCCTCCAAGGAGCCACCCAGTGTAACCCTTTCCAGGATGAATCTGTTTGTTTTCCTAGCATTTCATGGTACTCTCAATACTCTTCTCCAGCACTACAGCTCAAAGGCATCAATTCTCCTTCTATCCTCCGTGGTCATTGTCCAACTCTCTGATGCATAACAAGTGATTGTGAAGACCATGGCCATTACCAATTTTTTGTATCATTGAACTGTGAGTAATACATTTTTGGATTGTGTTTCTTGAATTACTAGCGTAATTGAATTAATTTTTTCCTGTGTTTCCTTTGGCAGCACATTATCTAGTGAATATTTTTCACCAACACCACAATGATAGAAAATATAGCTTGGGTCAGGCACACCTTAGTCTTTAAACTGATACCCTTTTAAAAAAAAACAAACCCAAAAATAAACTGACATCCTTGCTCTGATCATTTTGGGAAAGATCTTGATAGCAGATTTTCCCAATGCAAAATGTCTTTTAATTTCTTGACTGCTGGTACCATGGGTCAATAGATCAAGTGAAATGAAGTGGTTGACAGTTTCAATCTTTTCTCCATCTTTCATGATGTTGCCTGCTGTCCAATGGTGAGGACTTTTGTTTTCTTAACAGTTCAGATATATATAATATTGAAAACTGTAGTCTTTCATCTTCTTCAGTAAGTATTTTAAGTCTTCCTTTTCTGCAAGCAGGGTTGTGTGATCTGCGTGGTGAAGGTTGGTAATGAGTCTCCGGTTCTAATGGTCTTCTTCATATAATCTAGCTGTTTAAATTTTTTCCTTACTATACAGCTTGAATAGGTATGTTGAAATGATTCAACCCTAGTGCATTTCTTTCCTGATCCTGATGCACATCTTCTCCTGATTTTAAATGAAGTAAACATATTTCTGGTATTCTCTGTTTTCAGCCAGTACCCACCAGATATTAACAGTATTGTCTCTTGTTCCGCAGCCTCTACTGAACCCAGCTTGAATTTCTGACAGTTCCCTGTCAATATCCTACTCTTTGTTTAGTAATTTTCAGCAGGTTTTTATTATTTCAAGAGATTTTGGACCTTTTTCAGAATTTAAACAAATTTGATCTCTTCCAGATCATTAACTAGGGCCTTGTTTTTTGCTGGTGCCTTTAGTGCACCTAAGATCAATTCTTTCAGTACTCTTTGTCTCACACTATGTATTGAAATGGTTGTCTGTCAACCAATTATCCCTTTCATCATCATCTTGCTTCTTTCATCTTTAAGTATTTTACTCATAGCATCCATCAGTATTGCAACTTAATGTTATCCATAATTTAATTGATCCACAAGGTAAATGTCTTTGTATTTACTTACCAAAACACAAGTAAACACTCCAGCGACAATAGCAAAGGCTATCATGGATTTTTTTTCTCTCTTTAGCTTCAATTTGTACTTGCTTCAGAGTAAGTAATTGATTTGTCTGTTCCTTAATTGGCCCAGGCTTTTTTTGACTGCTGATAATGAGTTTATTTCCCTTACTTTTGAGCATATATAGTCAATCTGATTACTCTGTCTTCCATTGGGTGAGAGCCTTGTTGTTATTCATTGTTAATATTTTTTTTAAAAAGTCTTTTCAATGAGTAAATTATTGTACAAGTTTTTATTCTTTTGCTGCCTCATTTCTGTCACCATGACCATATTTTACAAGTAAACCAGTATAAAATAACAAATTTTTTTTTTAAATTTTTATTGTCTGTGGTTTTTTTGGGGGGGGGCGCTACAGGAGACTGGACCTTTATTACCTATTTTAATGACACTGCAGAGGCTGCTTTCTTGTGCTGCCTCATCTCCCAAGCTGTCCTCCTCTTCCTGTCTTAGAATCACAGGGTGCACTTTGTCTCTGGGAGGCCTCGATGGGTCAGGGTCAGAGGCAGCCCGGGATCTTCTCACCACATC